GGCTACTCTGTCTCGAATAAACAATGTCCAACCTGACAGACACGTTTATTATAGAGACTTAAAAACTAATATTATAACTTTTAATCTATTTCTAATCTATTTTCATGTAAATGCGCCGCACATGGCTGCACTCTTATATCTCTGTAGTTAACTTAGCTTGCATCCTTTCCCTTGCCAATCAAACAAATGGCTCAGTCGCTTAGTAAGACTTCCTAATGGACTGTCTAAGACCTTCTGGCCTCGATACCGCGGTAAAAGAGCAGGACATCTAGTCAAAGATAGAGGAAACGATCGTTACCATCTGATCAGCGTTGCTCAACCACGGGATCCTAACCGTGTTGCTACATTAACAAGACTTCACCGTTCCCGAAACCCAGCGAACTTGATATCAGTCACCATATCCCCCGCAAGCCCAAAAGGAGGTTTGTCGTCGACCTATGTTCCATCTTTTTTGGTCTCAAATGTTATGTCCTTGGCTCCTAAGATCGATGAATTACGCCATGTTGTTCAGAATGCAAATTTGGATTGTATTTGCATCACAGAATCCTGGCTTCGGAGTTCTATTCATGACAACGTGGTTCCTTTAGAGGGGTATAATATTATTCGCAGGGACAGAGTCGAATCTGAACACGGCGGTGTTTGTATGTACATCAAGGATACGATCAATTTCACTGTTCTGGCTGAGTTACAAGAGCCATCTTTCGAAATGCTTTGGGTAAAACTAAGGCCGTTCCGTCTCCCAAGGGGATGTAATTTTATTGTTGTTGGGACGCTTTATCATCCGCCAAGCGCCAGTGACCCAGCAATAATGGAATATTTAATCAAGTGCTTATCAACCATTGAATCGTGTTATCCCAACTGTGGTATTCTGATTGCTGGGGATTTTAACAGATTGCAAATCACACGCCTCCGTAATAATTTCCAGCTAAAGCAAATAGTCCATTTTCCAACGCGAGGCAGAAGGACACTTGATTTAGTCCTCCCTAATATTTCTGAATAATATCAGGATCCCATCGCACGCCCGCCTTTCGGTTTATCTGACCATGCCTCAATTGAACTCCAACCGAAAGAGAGAGGACATGTAAAGCAACCCACTATCACTGTTAAGACGAGAGATTTGCGCCCCAGTAAGCGCCAAGCAATGGGCACCTATTTGGATGCTGTGGATGTGAACACCTTGACTTGCGCCTTGAAAACGTGCGCCGAAAAAGTCTCGCTCCTGGAACAGATCATAAAAACAGGACTTGATCATATTCTTCCTACTCAATCCCGGAGGGTGCACTCTACTGAGCCCCCTTGGATCACATCTACACTTAAAGATCTTATTCAAGCACGCCAGCGCGCTCTTTCCCGTGGGGATAATCAACAGTTTCGGGAGCTAAGGAATCGCGTGAATCGCGAACGAAAAGCGTGTCGGGCTAAGTACTTTCAAGCAAAGGTGGAGCACTTGAAGGAGTGTAGGCCGTCCGCGTGGTGGGATGAAATCAAAAAGCTTAGCGGCTCTTCTCCGGCTTTCACGGAAAGATCTTACGTCACGAAGTCCCTGCAACACCTGTATGAGCCCTCAGATGACATCTCTCTTGCCAACACCATCAATAAGGCCTTTCTCTCGCCTATGCAGTGTTTCTCTCCACTCCCTGCTGATTTTGTCTTAATACCCTCTAACAGTGCAACCCAACAACCTGTGCTTGTTGTATCAAACGAGTCGGTTTATAAGAAATTGACGAAACTGAACAGAAGCAAAGCGCATGGTCCTGATGGCATCCCAGACACAATTATTTGGAAATACGTTGATGACACCACTCTTGTCGAATCAGTATTGAAGAATGAGTCTAGCTACATGCAATTACGTGTAAATGAACTTGTAAGACAGTCAGAAGTTGATGGTTTCCAATTCAATGAGTCTAAATGTAAAGAACTGAGAATATCATTCTCCAGATCAGGTAGTCTGTTTGATCATATTACTATCAATGACAAGCAAATCGAAGTTGTTTCATCCGCAAGGTTGTTAGGAGTGATAGTCTCGGACAACCTCAGGTGGAACGCACATGTAGAATCTATATGCAAAAAGGCTGCGAAGCGTCTGTACTTCCTAAAACAGCTAAAGCGCGCTAAAGTTCCATCTGAGGATATGCTACTTTTCTATACAACATGTATACGCCCTGTATTAGAATATGCGTGCCCAGTTTTTCATCATTCTTTGCCGCAATATCTGTCCAATGAAATGGAAAGGTTGCAAAAACGCGCGTTGCGGATGATTCAACCTGACTTATCCTACGCTGAGGCTCTAGTAGCTCTTGACATTGCGTCACTGTACGAGAGGAGGGAGATCTTGTGTGATGCTCTATTTGATCAGATTGTAAGGGACGAAAACCACAAGCTCCATGATCTGCTGCCTCCACGCAACGAGTCCACCTATCGCACCCGCAGCCAGAGATACTTCAAGCTACCGATTTGTAAGACAACTAGGTTCAAAAACACATTTATCATGGCGAACAGTTTTAATTATTAGTAGCTATCTTAATTATTTGTATTTTGGTTTTTGATACTTCTCTTATTGTATTTTATTGTAGATTACACTTTGCGGCTTTTATTGTAGTTATCTTAGAGTAAGAGATAATTTATTCCCATTGTAAAGTAAGTCGTATTTCAGCCGGCCCGGGGGCTGCAATGATTTTACTTCCTAATAAAGTTATCTATCTATCTATTTCAAAAAAGTTGCAAAATGAAGGATTCTGATGTATTATTTTACACTGTTTTCACGTTGGCTTTGCGAATTTCAAACTTAATAAAATACGTTTTAAAGAAAGTTTACCTTATTTCAGTTAGTGCTTCTATAAGCGGATTTAGAATGAGAGTTTAGATAAGTAGACAAACGTTGTTTACTCAGAGTGGCCTACTCAGCCACAAGGGTCGTATCCAGAGGGCCCATGATACTAAAATTATCAATTCTGTCGTAGAAACTACTAGTTACGTATAAATGTTACAATTATATTTCTAAAATTATTTGAAGTAGGATAAAAGATCTAAAAAATTTGCATGCAGTCTCATACACATGAAATTCTCCTCGGCTGCCTCGAACAATGCAATTCACTTGCCATCTACAGAAAAAGACGGTTTCCTTGAGATAAAAAGCTACTTGAGATATATGATATTAATTTGATGACATTACAATTGATAGTTACACGTTAAGCAATACAGTTACCGAAGAGCAGTACTACCGTCAAAAGTAGACTCTCTACCTAAGATAAGCAGTGGAAAAAAGCCGATTGTTTTTGGTAAATATCGTTATTTCTTCTAACCTTTTTATTCGTGTTTCTTTTTTCTTTTGCTGTAACCTTTTTTGTATGAGAGCACATCGGATGGAAATCATGGTAATCATTTACCAATATCATCAATATCAGCCGGACTTCTTATAGCACCAGGCATTAAGCTTTTCAAACTCATCTATTGGATCTTTTGGACCATGGATGCCAATTTTATTCCCACACATGGGGTTTTTCGTTTGCATAAGAAAGCGAGCAGTTCCATCTCAAATCCAGCCCCAGCTGCGGAAAGAAAAAACATACAACAAGGTTTTAAGGCCTTTCCAAAACTTGAAAGAACTCGTTATGACCGCTTAAGTCAACCTGGAGTGCAATGTACACATAACCACGGCACATGCTTATTATTCCCGAAATCCCTCGGTCATATCATTACAGACAAGCATTTTGTAAATTTTGTATGGAAATTCTGCTTGATTGTCCTTATCCGCTCAGATTAATGGTGGTAATAGGACCGCTTGGAGTGCAATTAGGTCTGTAATCATACGA